ACCAGTTGTAGAAATGGGGATTGTAATTGACATGAGTATTCTTGTCCTATTTGGTTAAGAATAGGCTTGTGGATGTATACACATATGTTAAGCAGATACTTGAGTTATTCTTTTTTTGAATGTGTAACTGAGCTAAGTGTTAAGTGGTTAAGTGTTGTGAACCTATATGATTATATTGGGTTATGAGACGCTTAAGGACTAAGCATTCCTCGAAGACCTTATCACCTAGTCTTAAGATATATAATGCACTGGTCATTGTATGATGGAACAGTTATATCATGTTAGGTGAAATTATGACCTCACCATTGTTTTCATTTGAAAATTAAGCATGACATAGAGAGATGCTATTGGGTATCAAGTTGACAAGGGATGGACTTGTGATGGCTAATCCTGGGTGTCAACTTGACTGGATATGGGATTAACTGAAATGAAAGCGATCTTCTTGATTGGATCATCTGAAGCTGGAAGACACACCCTAAATGTGGGTATTACCTTCTGATGGCAGCCCATATAAAAGGCCAAGGCAGAGGAGAACGCCATGCTTCTTGTTGCTTGCCTTCTCTCTCGCTGGTGAACTCGTCTTGCTGCTGTAGACTGAAGACTAGCTGATCTTCTGGAATCTGTCAGACCTTCAGCGCCAGATTGGGACTACTGAGACACCCAGCCTTGTGGACTGAGCAACTACGGATTCTCAGCCTCTCCAGTGTAGTGCAGCCATTGTTTGACTACTCGGATTCTATCCTGTGAGCTAAGCTGATAAATCTCTATACATATATATTCATTCTACTGGTTCTGTTTCTTTGGAGAATCCTGACTAATACAACAACCCTATCTCTTTGGGGAGAAAAATACCAGCATAAAACATATAAAATAATTTTAAGAGCTTGAAAAATCAGGGAACTTACTACTTTTTGTTTTTGAGACAGACTCTCACTATATAGCCCTGGCTGCCTAGAACTCACTATGTACACCACGATGGCCTCAAACTCACAAAGATCCACCTGTCTCTGCCTCCCAAGTGGTGAGATTAAATGTCTGTGCCATCACACCTGGCTTATTATTACTTTTGGAACAAAGCTCTGTAAGTATAGTTTTTTTTCGGGGGGGGGGGAGCGGTTTTTTTGAGACAGGGTCTCCATTGTAGCCCCAGCTGGCCTGGAACTCACTAAATAGACTAGGCTGGCCTTGAACTCACAGAGATCAGCCTGCCTCTACGTCCCAAGTGCTGGGACTAAAGGCATGTGCCACCATGCACAGCTTTAAGTATAGATTTAAAGTAACAAATCCTAATAAAACAGAAGATTTCCTGATAAAATAATCTAAGACACCATTTATTAGAGTCTGAACTTGTGTGTCCCTCTCAAATTCATGCTGAAACCTAATCCCCACTGTGGTGGTACTGGGAGAGGGGCTTTAGGAGGTCATTTGTTCATGAGGCCTGTTGTCCTCCAAATGGGATAAATGCCCTTACAAAAGAGGCTTGAGGAAACCACTTCTTCTGCCATGTGAGAACACAGAAACAGGGAATAAGGCTTTATCGACACTATCTGCTCGCATCTTGACCTTGGATTTCTCAACTTTCTAAGGTTATTTTGTTATAGCAGCTTGAACATACTAAGATATCATTACACTCACTTCAGTATCTTCCCACCTCTATATTCTTACATAAATATATTTTAGGGTCTAGTATTGTAGCTCAAGGCTGTAATTTGTAATTCCAACTCATGAGGACAGGAGGATTAAGTACAATTTAAGCCAGGCTGGGCAATATAGTAAGCTTCAGGTAGCCTTTAGACCCTGTGTGGTTATGACTTTTATAATATGGACATGTTCTGGACAAATGATTTTTACTAAACCTTGCAACCAAAAAATTAGTATTACCGTAGCTTGTTTTTAATGTAGACAAACTTGCTTAAGCCTTGAGCTCCTCTTGTAACTTTAACATACACCTTTAAATCCCTCATGGCCCTTCCTTGCCCTTGACCCAGATTAATGTATGAGTGTCTATATGTTTTACATATCAACCACTGCAAACAGCTGGTATCTGTTGAAAGTATAGATTATTCCACTTGTGTTGCAACAATAGATGAGATTAGATTAACGACATCTGTTTGTGGCTGTATGCGTGCTGTCCTAGGTCAATAGAGTCTGAAGGGACATAATTCTCTGATAAGACAGTTCCTCTTTTACTTCCCCATTTCACACTGGATGTAATGTTTCAATAAAAGAAAAGAGGGAGCCCTTGTTTGAGAGCATAATTCTGAAAGTAGTCAGAAGAAACAAGTGCTCAAAGCAGTTTAGGTCTCTTCTTGGCTAAATGGATGTTAAGAGCCAGGTTATTTTCATTCAGGCTACCCTGCCTCAAAATAAATAAACACTAAAACTTACATGCATACATACCCTTCCAGAAATGGTAAAGACAAGGGCATTAGAATATTAATTTTTTAAAAAATATTTTATTAGCCAGGTGTGGTGGTACAAACCTTTAATCCAAGCACTTGGGAGGCAGAGGCAGGCAGATCTCTGTGAGTCAAGGTCAGCCTGGTCTACAGAGTGAGATCCAGGCCAGCGGGAGCTACAGGGAGACCCTGTCTCAAAAAGAAAAAAACTATTATTATTATTTTATGTGTATGAGTGTAGCATGTGTATAAGTTCAACCAGGTCGTGCAATGCCTATGGAGGTCAGAAGGGTGCATGGGATCCCCCTGGGGATTCATCCTCTCCCTCCCTCCCTCCCTCTCTCTCTCTCTCTGACTTTTTGAGATAGGGTCTCCTTGTAGACCCAGCTGACCTGGAACTCACTATTAGACCAGGCTGGCCTCAATCTCAGAGATCGGCCTGCGCCTGCCTCCCAAGTGCTAGGATTAAAGTCGTATGCCACCAGGCCCGACTCCAGTCCCTATGACTTTCTGAAATGTTAAGGAAATGTTTTTAGAATGAAATATTTGGATATGTACTCTCAAAGGTATGAACAGACCATTCTAGAAGCATCATCAAGTTGTTCATTTTAACTTTTAAAAGTAGTCTGAAATAGTTTTATACTAAGACACATACAAGCTATCATATACTCAATAGAAAGTTTAAGGAATTCACCATATATATATGAATTGAACTGAAGAGTGCTTTTCTTGTCAACTGGTATTGTACCAAACACACAGGGTAGATATACAGAAAGTAAATATAAAGCAAAATCTGGCATACCTCTACATCTGAAGCACTCCGGGGCTGAGCTTGGCAGAGCATATTTAATAACTGCAAAATTAATTCTTCAACATACTGAAGAGCATCATCATTAGACTCAAGAGTAGGATGAACTTGCCCCTGAACCTGTAAATAAAAAGTGAGGTAATTAAAATGTAGATTTGTTTCACCTAATTAAAAAAAACTTCAAAATAATTTAATGTGGGTTTATACTAAGGAATATGGACTAGCTTGCAAATACACGTTGAATATTGTCCAAAAGGCAGAACATCTCAACCTCTGTTATCAGTCACATGTACTATTCATGCTATAAATAGCCTTTGGAGATCCATTTACCTATGTAATTTTGTTATTTTTTTGTTCACTGCAGTTGTAATGAAATGTAGAAATGGGAAGGTGAAGAGGCTAAGGTGGTGATAAAATATACAGTTTATGTGGGATTCCTACCCAGAACCAGTTAGTCCATTCATTCAACATCCTACTTGGGCAAAATTAACCTCTTATGGGTCCTCTCTTCCTTGTTTAATTCTACATTCCCTACTTGATGACAAAATCCGAGAGGTGTCTCATCTGCTCACTAGTGAGATCTCCAGCATCAAGCACTATGCAGAGCACACATAATACAAATTTAATAAACGTTTGTAAATACCAAATCATCTTACATCAAAAAAAAAACACACAAAATGGGGGCCGAGGAGATGGTTCAGAGGGTAAAAGCACAAGCCTGATGACCCAAGTTCCAGCAACATAAAAAGCTGGATGTCGTGGCACATCTGTAATCCCAGCACTCCTAGAGCAAGACGGGAGGCTGAGACAGGAGAACTGCCAAGTAGCTGCTGGAATACGCAGCACAGCAGTAGGAACAAGACTCTGCCTCAATAGAGTGAAAAGGAAGAACTGTCTCTAGAAAGTTGATGACCCCTGACCTGCACATGAACATGCACACACTCACATATACACACATAAATACATAAATGGAAAAAAAGCACACAAAATAAAGACACTTTGACAACTTGTGACTTGGTCTACCATACCATGAGAAAATGGATAATCATTTAAGTCTTCGGTTTTCCATGACTTTTTTCAGGCTGTTGGCCTCTATAAAGCTTGCATTTTAGTAAACAGCATAAGTCTTTATTTGCATCTCTTTATCACTATGAATCAAAACTATTCCTCACTAAATAAATGGCAAGAAAAGTCACTCATTACTGAAGATAATGTTTTAAGACATGTATGTACTGAGCAAGCACATTCAGTATGGTATACCCTATTATACCTCACTCATTAGCTGAGAGGATAACAGCTTCCTTATGGGGGAAACTGCTATAAAAAGTATACTATATGATTGTCTAAATATATATTAAAAGTTCATATATATGCATGTCACATACTTTTAAAAGGCAAATAATATTCTAGCAACTCAGTGCTGCATGAAGGTGTACTACATAGATTATGAGGTTTAAAACCAAAACAGTTTCAGAGGTGAAAAGCCATGCTCCAAAGACATTTAACCATATTCAATATATTAACTACCAACTAATTATAATTTGTTTGCACATCTTTCAACTGTAATAGATTACTATAGACAGGTAAAATAATGGAGAGCTAGAGATTAAAGGTTTTGATTCAGTCCTTTGCATTTACCATCTGAATAATGTGTGTAGGTACTGAATCTGATAATCCACTCTTCTTTACATTTAAACATGATGGAATCACCCTTTTTTAAAAACCCTAGAACACGTTTTACTTTTTAGCTGATTAATTTTCATCTAGCAATGAATCTTAACACATCCAGGAGCTCTTCTATTTCCATGCAGCTATCATGTCAAGTTCTTTTCTAGAAAATATTAGTGAGGGGGCTGGGAAGATGGCTTAGTCAGTAAAGTGCTTGTTATACAAGCAGGAGACCTGAGTTTGGGTCCCCAGCATCCGCTTAAAAAAATGCTGGGCACAGTATGCACCTGTAATTACAGCACTGGGGAAGTGGAGCAGGAGGATCTACAGTGAGTGAGAGGCTCTGTCTTTAAAAATACTAGAAGGGGCTGGAGAGATGGCTCAGTGGTAAGAGCGATGATTGCTTTTCCAGAGGACGGGGGTTCTGTTTCCAACACCTACATGGCAGTTAATAACCATCCAGTTCCATAAGATCTGACACCCTCTTCTCGCCTCTATGGTTTTTTTTGTATGCACAGGTACACTTACATACAGGAAGGCAAAACACTCATATACGTAACAATAAATGAAACCAAAAAGTTAAAATAAATACATAAAAATAAGTTGGAAAAGCAATTGAGGAGAGCATCCTGTTGACCTCTGCCCTTCACATGCATGCATACATACATGCACATACATGTACATCTACCCATATACCTATGTGCCCACACATGTACCCATATGTACATGCACACTGCCCATACATATTCATTCCCACATGCACATATACACACCATGTACATATATATATATATACATACACACACCACTGTCCATATATATCCATTCCCACATACATGTACATGTACACTTACCCATACACATGCTCCACACATGCACACACACAGAGTATTAGCAACATGATCTATTCTAGTTCTTTGACATCTTTGCTACTTTTTCTGTTTCCCTATAGTGTTCTGTATTTTTTTTTCACCTCTCCAAAGTGTCTGTTGCTTCTTGCTATACTTTACTCCAAATAATCTTATGTCTGTATTTTCTTTTTCTTAACATAAAATGTTATGTTATTGAATTTTTTGGATTTCACACAATTCATCTTAATCATATTTAGCCCCCGCATCTGCACCCCCCATAGCCCGCTCACAGGACTTCATGTCTACATTTTCAACTATCACTTGGATAACCTCAAGACTATCCCCATCTCCCCTGATTTTAACCACCATATTTCAAAAAGTGGAAGATATTTCCCACTTATTCAACCAACATGTCAAATTTAACACTAAAAGCTGTAAGAGTTAAACAACAAAAACTATCTCATATACAGAAGGTATTTAATATTCTCAAATATATTTATGTACATATGTGTGCTTGTGTATATATACGTGTGTATAGATATACATATATGTGAATGAAAAACAGTATATGGCAGTAGGTGTACTAAGATGTAATTCTGAAAAATGTACTAAAACTAAGAGTTTACATTTTTGTTCAATGTCCTAGCATCACATAAACTATAGTTGTAGATTTACAAAATCACTAACTTTTTTTAAAAGCAAAGGGGCTTAAAGTTACTTAACCCAGTCCCTCAATTTATCCGAGGTAAAGGAGATACTTTGCTAACTACTAAGTGATCCCATTGGGAACTACTTAGTATTGAACCTGAGCATCCTGGTGTCTAGGCTAGAGCTATTTCAAAAACTCTCTACAGTCCAATGAGTACCCTAGCGAAGCCACAAGGACAGAAAATGAGTACCCATGGACATGATTACTGGTGGGCTTGTAAACAAAACTTGAAGTATGGTGTCCTACTTTAATTAACACTGGCAAATCTGTTAATGTGAGAAGGTAAAAATGTCACTGATTACCTGAATGATTTGATGGATATAAATTGTTGATAAATATAACTTCATTTCCAGTTACTCTTCAGTTTATCTGAAGTAATCTGAATCATTCCCAGTTTGTTGAAACAAATTCACACTGTTCTCTATGCCTGCCATTCATTCTCTTATCCTTTTACCTATTTTACCTATTTGACTTTCAAAATTCAGATTTCACCTCATTCAAGACCTTTTCCTTTCTTCCTCTCTCCCTCTGTCCCTCCTGTGTAACAGAGTCTCTGCCTCCCAAGTGCTGAGATTAAAGGCATGCACCACCATGCCCAGCAAGGGTGTGTTTTGATGTAGTCCCAGGGTGCCTCAAACTTACTATGTAGCTAAAGATGACCTTATACTTCTGATCTTCCTACCTCTACCTCCAGAGTATTAGGTTACAAGCACGCATACAATACTGGGGATCAAATCCAGGGCTTCATGCATCTAAACAAGCACTCTACAACTGAGCTACACCCCAGTCCTTATTTCTTTCTAATGCAGAATTAACCTCATTCACTTTATTTTTTTAATTTAATTATTTTTTAGTCCCTTTTAGACAGGGTCTCCCTGTAGCCCCAGTTGGTCTGGAGCTCACTATGTAGACCAAGCTGGCCTTGAACTCACAGAGATCTGCCTGCCTCTGCCTCCCAAGTGTTGGGATTAAAGCGTGCACCACCATATCTAGCTCACTTATCTGATGCTAATAAATAATATATATTCTCTCTCTCTCTCTCTCTCTCTCTCTCTCTCTCTCTCTCTCATGCTCTCTCTCTCTCTCTCTCTCTCTCTCTCTCTTTCTCAACTGGTACCTATACAGGAATGAGTCAAACATAATAAATGCTTATGTTATGGGCTTTATGTTCTGCTCTGTGCTAATCCCCTACTCTAAGCACCACAGTTTGATAACTGAGTTTATCATAATGAGCTGCAATCTTATGTCCTCTATCTCTCCAAGTGGACAGAGATGTTCCAATCAGGCAAGGCCTTGTTCATGTATTTATAGTGGTACCTATACAGGAATGAGTCAAACATAATAAATGCTTATGTTATGGGCTTTATGTTCTGCTCTGTGCTAATCCCCTACTCTAAGCACCACAGTTTGATAACTGAGTTTATCATAATGAGCTGCAATCTTATGTCCTCTATCTCTCCAAGTGGACAGAGATGTTCCAATCAGGCAAGGCCTTGTTCATGTATTTATAGATTCATTTTCTCCTTTCTTTTTATTCCAAACCTCTGGCATTCAAGAATATTTAAAGCTTCTGTTTTATAAAGGTGAACGCAAAAAATACTTTTCTTGTAACTAAGATTGCAAAGGGTTGGCAATAAGGCTAGAGATTTGGTTTGATTTCAGGAACATACCTCTAAGCACAAGCTATTCCATATATGATGTCAGTCTGAATTAAAATAGACCTTTGTTGTGTAGAATCAGATTCATTATATACAATCACAGCAGTGAAATGCAATGACTAAAAACAACTTGGTAATTTTTGTAATTCTAGCACATACAATTCAAATGCTGATTAAATCTGGTACTCTGTGTAAAAATGTTAGGAATTCAAGTTTAGACAGTTCTATTCAGTT